TTCATCCATTGAGCTCAAGAAAAGAGTTTTATATAATTGATTGCGGTCAGTAAACTTATCGATGTTTTAGCTTCTACAGTCGATTAAAGTTAAATGACATGAATATACACAAGTAATGTTAAAACAACTTTTGGGAAATTGATCAAAAGAAATTTCGAAAAGATAATGTTTACTAAAAAATTTCGGTGAAAAAGCTTTCTCAAGACAAATCCTAACTTTTCATTCATATCAAGAACATTTGCACTTTCATTTTTCACTCATTTATGTTTTCGGAACTGGAAATAAATATTACGATGATTCACAAACATACCAAAAAACGATTGAACGGTCGGAACCCAAATTCAATTGGCATGGAACGAATAGGCAACCATATTGGTAAAACTATTATTGATTGCACTTCATCTCCCTTTTCAACAAAAGTTCATGTATCAACAGAGTAAATTAACCCGAATCAAGTATTGGATTCGGGTTACCATAATGACCGATATATTTTGAATTGTTGGAATGCGATAACGTCATTTGGTCAAAATGAAATACAATATCAAAACCATCGACACTATATATTGGTGCAATTCGAGGAATTTTAACATTTGTGTGATTTGGCAATTTGGAGAATAGCCTTCATTTCTGAAAGCCCCAAATTCCAATTACGTTTGATTTGGAGCAATTTATTTTTTTGATTGGCCACATATTTTGCCGATCGAATTTTTTTTTCAATTTGTGTGATTGTCGGTATTGGGAATTCCATGAATTTCATTGTCATAAATTGGATCGCATGAACCAAAACTGATTAACTCTTAGGAATACTTCTGCATAGAACAAAAAATAAATGCTTGCAAAATATTGAAAAAAAATTTGACAGTATAACCCGAAGTCACTTTCGAAACAAAAGCCAACAACCGTAACCATATATGAAATCATTCGATAAAGTTCCTTTGTTGTGAAAAAGTAATTGCGGTAAAATAAATAAAAATTGCTACAGTATGATAACAATTTTGTACAGATGAAGTTTTTGTTCAAAAAAAATTCTTTACGCACAGACAGATGGATAATTTCGTTTTCAATTACATCTACCCATATAATAATAGCAAATAATAGCCGAAGCAATCATGTTGCCTTTGATGTGGTTGCGTATGTTCAAAATGGTATGTGAAATTTTAAACGCAAAGGAATTTTTTTCGCTTTCCTCTGCCACAAAAATGCGTTTTTTATCAGTCGAGTCAGTTTATAATACCGAATGTGGATAAATGGAAATATATGATTTTGTGTGTTCTCATTTTTATTGTAATTTATATTGATCGAGTCGAATAATTACAAGAGTTGACCGAGAAAAGGTCAAAAAGCTGGGAAAATGAAGCGAAGCAGAAAAAAAAGATTGAAGGGATAAATGAACGGACACAAGCAAATATATAAATTAATTGGCCCAACGAATCAGAAATCATGTGAGAATTTTTTGCTCTCCTTTTTCCGAACTGAAAACATTGAATGGCGTATTTGATGTGCTTTTTGCAGCTTGGCTGATCAATAAATTCATTTCAACTTTTCCGAGAGTAATTTAAAAAGTTAAAACGATTTTTATGATTATTAGTAAAAGGCAACATTTGGTAGCAAAACACTCTCATGTCTCGTGCACACTTGCGTCAAAACAAGCATATAACATGACAATATAGTAATTGCGTAGTTCCAGAATGATAGTGTGGAAAGGAAACTTTGGATGAGATGAATTTGACGAGCATTTGTAATTTGATGCTTATTTTCGTGCAACCATTGATGTTTCGTTTACACAAAGCAAAACTTCTTATAATAGATAAAATTGACTTTTTTCCCGATTCACTTTGCCGCACATCTCAAGTTTTAACAACATTTAAATTGGTGCTTTCACTTGGTGCCGTCAAAAATATCGAAATTCAAAACAAGTCAAAATCAGATATTTCAGCCGTTTTGTATGGTTTATATGGCAACGGTCATCGAGAAAGAGAGAGGGAGGGAGAGCAAGAAATATTGAGATTAAAAGAAAGACAGAGAAAACGTATCAAAATTCTATGCACGGTATTTATTTGTTGTGGATTTAGCTACCCTTCCATGCCTTTCATATGCGAAAATTAAAACAAAAGAAAAACTTTTTCTCCTCATTACATTGTTATTACGTTGTGAATATTTTGGCTCAATATATTTTATACACCGTCAAAAACTTCAAAAAGACCACAACTTCATGAGATTTTAACAAAAACATTCATTGATTACAATGTTTTTGTTGCTAACATCGCTGGTCCTGGACACTGGCGCGCTCACCCAAAGCGGACAGCTTCATTGCGATTGATAAAAACGGTAAACAAAACACAGAAACTTTTTCCGCATTTGGTAGTTTCTTTTTCTTGTGCTTTGTTCTTTTCTTTGTCTGTGGACTTTTGTGCTATCTTTGTTCCCTTGTTTCGACCGGAATTTTTCAAACTTTTTTTTCCAAACACATGTATTCTCAATGAAGACATCTCAAGTCTACTTCGAGTCCTTTCTTGCCAAATTCACATACAAATCGAGTTGCTCGAGATTATTATTATTCATGTATGTGTGTGTGTGCGCAGGGGGAATATGTAAGTGGTCGAACAAAGTTATGTTGCCGGTTCATGATGATGATGACGACGACAATGACTGCTTAAGCCAAAAACTAAGGAGTCCGGGAAAGATATGAACTCTAGAATGAACAAAGTTTCCAACGAATAAAATATACTGTGTTAAAACAACACCAACGGTCATAGCAATAAATAATATTGCATAAGCTTCTGAATTCTTTTTTCAGATACTCGTCTCTATGAATACTTGGTTACATACTAACTCCCCAAGGCATAAATGCATGCAATTTTTTTCTATCGCTCTCGTTCATAATGTGGCATAAATGTAATAGAAAGTGCCGCAAGATAGAAAAGAAATGAAAAGAAAATCGTACCGAATCATGAATGTTTGAAAATCAACGAAGCACAAAACCAAATGTGATTCAAACAAAACCATCGAGAAATGGATATAGAAAAAAATCTAAAAAGTAGGAGAGACTACCTACAGATATGGAAACTAAACGATTTCAAGCTTTCATACACCATTCTCAATTTGATTTATTTTGTTTGAGGTATTTACAATGGAACCAGCGTTCCAAGCCAATCGACATTTCAAGAATTATAGAGAGTTTACCTCATCGATGATAGCAATTTTTACATCTTTTTTTACTAAATTCGATGCGTTTTTTTTTGTTGTTATTTTCACTTGCCAATCACTTTGGAAAATGAGAAACTTCACTCAATAGAACTTAATAGACTAGCCGTGACTATATTTCATTTGAAAATTTGATCCGAAAATATTAAACTGGCAATTTGTTCATTTCATTATTTTATTAAAAAGACTAACAGAAAAAAGATCGCATGAAGCATGAATCCATTTTTTGCCATAGTAATGCACTCATCCAGGTAGTAAATTTATTTAACTGAAGTGAAAACAATGTGCATAAAGTATGCGCAAAAGATAATTTATATTGAAACATAATGAAAATGATATCAAATAGTGGTTATTAAAGACTTGTTCCAAATTCATCCAACCTTTCATTTCACATTTTTTCCATCATATTCGGAAATATTCACTTAGTATGTGCTCATATTTTTTTGCTTTTCAGAGTCAATTCAAAATAATGGAAGCATCAAGTTGATATTGTTCAATTAGCCATCCATAGAAAAATTAATGTTTCGTGTTTTCGCTTAGCAACATCAGAGCGTTTATTTATATAATCTTCTGTGATAAAGAGTTTGGAACGGCTCCAAATTTCCAATTTTTTATATACTTTTAGTTTGAGAAAACGGGAGAGCGAACGAAAAATTGAATGATTCACTCAGAAAAGGTTCATGAACAACTATGCTGTGACAAATTCAAGTGATTTGTTTTTATTCAAACCATCACATTTCTGTGCACCTTCCATAAATTGGGTAATTGAAATAATCATTTTTCCCCGTTCCGAAATTACTAACGTTTTTTAATGAGTGTATCTACTCATTTTTTTACATTTTGGGTAAAAATAAGTTGAAAAAAGGTAAATTTTTGGAAGGAAAAAAAGAGAAAATCAACACGCTCAATCCAAAGTTGAAGCTTCTCAATTTGAGGCTCGTTCCGGTTCAATGATTTGCTCTTCAATGAGAGCCAATATTTATGATGTCTACTTGATTATTACTGTCATGCAATTTCCAGTTTGACAAATCAGTACATGTACCGGTGTGCGCCCATAGTTTGGTCCCATAAAATATGGATTTTCATGACAGGCGCGTGAATAAAAACAATAAATTAAATATTTCGACATATTTTGTTTGTTCGTTGGATTTTTCGTAGTGGTTAGTTTGAAAAGAATTCTATTATTTTATTGCTATTTTGTCCTCGGCATTCTGTGGGGAAAAACAAAAATTGTGAAGTTTTGTAACGTCACGTGCATCGTTGCCAATGGAGAAAGGTATCACAAAGCTCATTCACTTGTCCAAAATTGATGACATTCCCGAAAGCAAAAAGAGTCCTTTTACGTATTTAAATGGATGATCGTATATTCGCTTAAACTCACGTAGGGCACACTCTGCATGCCCTTATGCTCAACCCAAAACTACTAAGCGAAGAAAAGATGATACAATCGAGTTGAAAATGTTGGGTGACTGACAAATATCAAAACCAAACATATCTCATTCGTTTTATGCAAATAGGTAAAATGTTTTGAAATTATGACAATGTTGGCATAGAAATGGCCCCTCAATGCACAAAATCGATTTAAAACCGAAAATAAAGTTATATTTTATTGTTTAATCAAAGGATTTCGTTTAATTTCATGGGTATTTTAAGTTGAGGCTCATTTTGAAAAAACCATGCTCAATTTATCTTCACAGTCAAAATAATTTTGATTCGAATCCGTTATTTTAAAAGCAATTTCGTTCCAACTTTGAGTGGAAACCATGACTAAATATTCAATTTAAATCATTACTTACTGTTCAATGCATACTGATGACTGTCTCTAGATGATGCGCATCGATGCACGTTTTCAATGTTCAATTATTCAAGCAAATAGAAACGAGAGCAATGGCGGCAACAAAAAAATGAGAGAGAGAGAGAAAAATCCCCTCTTTATTTTATTTGTCTGTCGCGTAATTGCTCCGGTTCCCTTTTTCACGATTGACGTAATTTAGTTCGATTTCATTATAACTTTCTCTCGTGCATAAAATGCTGATCAATGTGACTGCAGTGCTGTTGTTGTTTCTCAATTTGAATGCGATTACGTCGCCAAATGGAAGTGAGAGGAAAAAAAGTGTACAACTATAGTGAAACAATCGATTTAAATTGGAACGTACACTGTTTTGAACACTGAAGAGCAATTAAAATTATCGGCAGTCGAGTTCAGGCAAGCATCGACTGATGCACACACATATATATGAACTGGATTTCACACAAGCACATGAAAAAGAAAATCAATAATCTTTTTTTCGATAATCGTAAAGTCCATCAATTAATTACAAATGGTTAAATTTTTCTTTGTCCTTTTTTATTTAGTTGCTGTTTTTCGTTTGAAATCTCAAAAATATAGAGGAACGTAGACACAGACGCTCTCTCACACTCTCTCTTTTTGTATTCACTGTTTTTTCTCTTTTTTTCCTCAAATGATGCTCAATGTGAATAGCAACATTGGAAATTCGTGCAAATCCGATTTTATCTTTTTATTGAAATCTCTTTTTTTGTAAAAATCACAAAATCAACACGTCACTCATGCCAACTTTTCCGAGCCAGCTTTTTTCTTTGTCTCTTTCTGTTTTTGTGTTTTTTTTATGGGGCGGTGTATTTCGTTTTTGTTACTTTGGTTTTGGTTCAAGCACGCAATGAACAGTAAATCTTAAGCACCACAGTTTACTAGGAACAAAATGAAATCCTGGCATTTATTTCATTGAATCGTATTTGCAGAAAACAGCCACTTGTTTGTCGGATCGTGATTAAGTTAATCACACCACAAATCTACATTATTATTTTTTTTCAACGAGATTTCATTCTCAATCGCATACACACACACACAAAATGTACCGTGTTTTTTCGCTATCGTAATTGTTTTCAGCATAAATTGGACGCTTATTCTTTTTTTTCGCTCGCAAATGTTTCCGCTTCAACCAGTATTAAGTGGGCAGCATTAAGAATAATAATTATTTGCGTTTCATTAATGTGACGGGGGGGTGCACGTTGAAGTAAATGTGATTTTCTTAATACTAATCACGGAGTAAACCACTATTTGTTTTGGCCTGAATAAAACACTACTTTTGGGATATTGTATTCTCGGTAGCGATACGATTTATCGATGCTGGATTTTTACTAGATAAACAATAATCGCGGGTAGACAACGTGAACAAGGGATTTTGGTCCGTGATTTTGTCGATAAATGGACTCTTAACTACAACCAATTTAATCCTATGGGATTCTCATGCATGGATTGCACCTGTTTGCAAACGATAGAGTAAGAACGCAATACTGATATACGTAGGCTGTGTAAATTCAAGCTTCATTCATTACTTTGGCACGTAAATTTTTGTATTGTACCTCAAGCAAAAATTGATATGCTTTTCTCTGTTTTATCGAACGAATGCGAATCGCATGCGAGCAATGTATGATTTCTTATATTATGCGCGATTCAAATTCATAGGCATGAAATAATCGTAATCTCTCTATTCACTGACCGTTCACAATGTGGCCGCTCTTCTCTGTTTCGCTGTACTTGTTTTTTTTTTTTGTTCATTTCATTTCACTTGAGGTTGATGTTTTTACTTCACCTCCAATAGGCGAATGGTGAACGTGGTGCAGTTGAATGTAACAGAAAATTTATTTCAGCCGTAAATTCCTAGGCCAGGACAAGAAACAACAGCAAAAAATAGACTCAGTCAATGCGGTCTATGAGTTTTTTTTTCTCTTTTTACTCTCTATTCATTCATTCCGACTTTAAATCGCCCATCCGATCACTCTCTGGGCTTTTTTGCTCTCTATCTCAAGTGCTTAATCGAAAACACCATGAACTAGAATTTTGAAATCGCTTTTACTGGATTATTTACCGAAACCCAATTACATTTCGTATTTATTTATTCAATTGCGAGAATATTCTGTAATTTAAAAAAAAGACACTAATTCACAACTGAATTTTTCACAATTTCTCCTTTTTGACACGAAATACTGTTGTTTCCACAAAGTAGAAAAATAACATCAAGTGAATAATACGATTTGGATTTTATTTCGCGCGCGCGACACACACACCGTTTACGTCTCTCTCTCGGTCGAGGAGCGGTTACGTTACATCACCGATTTTCTACTTCGTACTGAACAGATGTGTGTCATCGGCAACGACTAGATGCATTGCTTCATGGATTGTTAACGGACCGGGAAAGTCGGGATGCGAGTAGAGGGTAAAACACATTTTTGCGCATGTGTTTGTTTTCAAATGGAACTGGAAGTTTGCCTGTCACCCATACAAAGTGGGAAAATGTTCGCTTTCCACATTTTCCAACAGCGAACATCGAACAAAAGAGGGCGCCACATTAAGAGTAGAAAAGTTTGATTCGCTTTTAAAGTAGATAGTTGATTTTTCACAATATCTAAATTCGGGCGTATTGTGACCAATACATTTTAAACAATTCTCATTATTTGATAAGAAATAATTCATTTGGCGAAAATTTGAAAAACTTCCATCACCATTAAATATTGATCACCAAAAAATAGTTGGTAAGCAGTTAAGTCGAAGAGTCAAGTGGAGAACGTTTGCAAACTTATTTGAAATTCATTGTTTGTGTTTGAAAAGTATGTTTACAGGTAAAATTAAAAGTAAAGAAGAGTTCAACATCGAAAAAGAAAGCGCGCTCGCGCGAGAGAGAGCATTTTTTTTCATTTTCGCTGTCTGTTTTGTATTCGAAAATGTAGTTGATGAGCACAACAACTGATTGAAAGGCAAACACAATTAAGATTCATTTTCTGTTTCTGGTCGTGCATTCAGGTGAGAGTGATAGAAAGATAGAAAGAATGATTCTCAGTTAAACGTGGCAGATTTCGTTCATAACTTGCCTTTAAAAAAGTTCGTAGAAAAAGCAACAAAGCAACGGCAAAACTATTTTACAAAACAGCGTCAATATTTTCATTGAACCTCGCGTACAAATTCAATTGTGCTCTAATTGAAAAAGTTTTATTAAATAACGGCCAAATCGAAAAAATAGTGCTGTTGATGTGATCGAGTGTCTCTTTCTCTCTTCAGTTGAACTTATGGCAGCAATTGAGAAAGTTTATTGATTTTAATCGCATCAATCAGCAAGTTTAAACTACGGAGAATAAATGTATCGGAGAAAAATGAAAACAATTCGATGGTCAAAAAAAGTGCGACGAGAAAAGTTTTATGGATTGTGCAATGAAATGAAATCATAAGCAATCATTTTGGTAGTTTTGCCGTCGTACATTCATACATATGCATAAATTTTGATTGTTGACATGTTAAAAGTTCCGTACATTTTGTTCAACGAACAGAATTCGCTTAAATTTAACGCAAAGAATGCGAAATGGAAATGCCAACGATAATAATCTCATTTGTATTTCATTTAACCTTTTGACACTCTCGTAACACACACTAAACTCACGTAGTACCGCATAAATTGAAAAAAAAAAATCAAGTTTGACACTTTTGAATTTGATTTTGATGCAGTCGATAGTATTGTTCACGCGGAATTCATTCTTGCCGAATAGAAAGACGATAGACAGAGATAGAATGTACGGCAGAGTGTAACACAAAAGATTCGTCAGTAATTCCATCATGTCGTAGTACTTTTATTTATAAGTTTGATAACACTTTCGTACTCGTATGCGCCATAAATGAATGTACAACGTTCATATGGGACACGATGAGATAATGACGTAAGGTATTGTACTTTTGTGTTGTTATCGGGACAATATTGCTATGGAGAAAGAGAGCAAGAAACAACGTCCAAAAATACTAAAATAAGTCTGTACAAAAATAAATCGCAGCTTTTTATATGCTATGGATGTTTTGACGCCCATTCACTCAGAACTATGTGGGTATGAATGAAAAGTCGTTCTCTTGTTTTCGTTTCTATTTCGCCTTATTAAGTGAAGAGCACGTTATCTTGTACATTCAAGTTAAGAGCATTGCCTTTACACTTTTAATTCGCCAAATAAATATACATACATGTTTTAACATGCAACCGTCTGTTAACTTTAATTAATTAATTAAAGTAAGCTATGTTCAACTGAAGAAGCTATAGCCATGACAATAGTCATGATCGCACGACAGTCAAAATGTCTCAAAATTATCGACTGACTGACTAAGTGATTATAGTCGATTGTTTTCCATACAACACATCAAAATTAAACAATTTTTCCCACTAAATAAACTTATAGTTAATAGTGACTTATTCATTTTTTTCTACAAATAAAAAAAAATCATGTTTTCCTATTCTCTTGTAATGCTTTATTCTATTTAGATTATGGCGGCTAATAAGTGTTGGTGTTGCTCTTGGTGTCATCCCAACCATAAAAATGCTTTCCGAAATTAAGGCGAAGAAACTTGAAATTTTGATGATATAACAGCGCTGAAATCTTCATCGAATTTATCCGAAAAAACAACTTCGAAAAAAATGTTATATGTTGCATACGAAAGTACAATAAAAGAAATAAAAAGTGGTATTTCTGGATATTTGTTCAATCTGAGAAATATAACAGTGAAAGTTAAGAAGCTCAGTAAAATTCGCGAAGAACCATAAAATATGAAAATCGAAAACAGACAATCAAATGAATCAATACTGGCAGATGAAATAAAAAAAGTGAATCAATTGAAATTACATTCTTGAATGTGTTTCGCGTGCATAAAATATTTCCGTAAGCTTCAATATAGACTGGTCTTTGAGCCATGACCAACACTGCTGGAAACATACGTTGTACATCAACTGGAAACGTATACCAATCGCATTGATAAATTGAATCGTTTAATTCTCCGAATGCGGTGGACATTTCTTCTCCTAAATATGAAAAACTATGATAATTGGGCAGATAGATGATAGACGATTAGATGTTTACACATACCAAAGTGGCAAAATATAAAAATTAACATAAATGACCAAAATAGTTTGGGAATGATGCTCAAAATTTGGGCCATATCTGTACCGTCCCTTGACTGAATTCAAAAATAAAATGTCATTAGTTTCAATTGAACTTGAGAGGTTTCACTTAAACAAAAGAATATGTGGATTTAAAAAGCAGTAACCAATTCCATTTGAACCATAAGGAGTGTTCCACATATTGTCAAAAGACCCACAAAAAGTAATTCGTCAGCATGACCTCAAACATATCGGACACATCAAAAATAGTTCTGAAAAAATGAATCTATTTTCAATCTTGGTTATATGAAACATGACGTATTTGAATGAAATCGAGCTAGACGTTTGAAAATAAATAGTATAGAAGATTATATATAGATGTAGAATATAATGAGTACTCAACTGTATTGCATCCGCGTGTAACTGTATGAATAAACCAAGTATTTTTTTCAATCCATTTTTTCGCTCATTTTCTTCATTGATTTTATTTAGATTTTCCAGTTCCATTTTCATATCTTTAACGAATGCTATCAATATATTGCACGAACCAAACGGTATAGCTAATTGGCCAATGTCATGATTTAGCAGTTAATACGCAGCTCCAGCTTGAAGAAATACAGTGAACAGGTATCCGAACTCAGTTCGCCAGTTATAAGGCTCACTTTTGGGAAATAATTTCGTTTTGAAAGGTTTTTTTTTTAAACTATTAGACACACTTGCCTCGAATAAAACGGTAGATCATAATCGTTTGGCTCAAAATCCTTAGCGAAATAGATGTACAATGTGAACAGTAACTTTGGCAAAATTAGGAAATAAGTGGTTAAATCACCGAACATTTTTCGAAGCAACACAGAGAATTTTTCAATCAAATCATTTGTATTTTCGAATAATTCTCTGGTTGATGGACTACCAGCCGTGAGTCCTAAGAGACATTGAAAATAAATTCATTTAAAAATTAAAAAAAAGATGAGAACATTTATATTGGCTAAAAACAAACTTAACACGACAAATGATTAAAATATCATACGTGCTTGAATAGCATTTTCAAAAGTGTCGACAAGCCTGAACAACTTATCTCCATTCCATGTAATGATTAGAAAATCTGAAGTAGCAACGATTATTGTGACTAACGCATATGTTGCGTTCGCATATTTTCCAACTGTATCGGCATCAGTACACAAAAATGCACTCGTTGCAATAGTGAAATGAGCAAGAAAAAAGAAAGCTGCAAACGTTTTGATATTGATCGGTTGATATTTTTCGAATGGTTTGGGTCGCCTCACTCCCAAGTATTTGTATAGTTCTAGACATGTTTGAAACAATTTCATATTGAGATTAATATTCGGTTCTTTTTTATTGAAATATTGTTAGATATTTAAAATCCAAGTTAGATTCTCTTTCTGATTAAAATCGTGATGTGATAATTTCAATTTTAAGTCACTACTTTTGTGGATTTTTGTTTAAAATTATTTCATTAAAAAGAAACGATTTCTGCAATCAATACGGAACGTTATTTCAAAAAAAAATTAAGTCACTACAATGTCGCGAGTGAATCAAAACTAAACTTGAATTTGATTTTCATTTCTTTTTTATAGATAACTGCCGAAAAAAATAAAAGTAAAGATAATGGAACAAACGATTTTCCATATAATAACTTAATTAAGCAGTGGTTAATGAACATTCAAAATTGATGAGCCAATAACCAATCATGAACTCTTTTCAGACAATCGAATCAACTTGTTAAGCAAATAATATCAAATAATGTGGTACGAATTTCAAACGATTTGAAAAGAACGATGACAATACTAAACTAAAAGCATATAATTTCTTTAAATTTTTTAACAGTAACTTGAGAATTAAACTCAGTAAAAGTGTATATAATTCTATATTTCTTTTCAAAAAACTCACAAGTGATCCATATATTTCTCATCGTCAATTATTTATTTCTTGGATATATAAGTCGATAACAAATTGTGTATGTTTAATATTTTACCTGGATGGGTTGGGATTTAGACATATTTCTATCTTCAAGTAAAAGTATTCACTGAATTGAATAATAAATGAATACACTGTGTGTCACTCAAAAACTGACAGAAACGAGACCAGTGGGATTTACATTTCAATGGCATCATTCGTTTTCTCCCATCACGTCGGGATTTTCCACAATTTTCTTCAGAAGTTTCCCGGAAAACCCAAATTGGCTGTTTATA